TATCTGCCTCCCCACCAACTGGACAAGCACCTGTACCTTAGTCTTCCTAAGTCCCAACATTAACATGGCCCAGACCCTATCGGTGCCCCTCAAAGTTCAAGTCCATCAGCACAGGGCCATACAACTAATACCCCTACTTATAGGGTTAGGAATGGCCACTTCTACAGGAACCAGAATAGCAGGTTTATCCACTTCCATTATCCTACTATCACATACTCTCGAAGGATTTCTCGGACAGTTTTCAAGAAATAACAAAATCTATCCTTACTCTAAATCCCAAATACACTCTTTGGCAGCAGTGACTCTCCAAAACCACTGAGGCCTCCTCACTGCTGAGAAAGGAGGAATTTGCACCTTCTTAGGGGATGAGTGTTGCTTTTACACTAACCAGTCAGGGTTAGTATGAGACACCACCCAGCGTTTACAGGAAATGTCTTCTGAAATCATACAATGCCTTTCAAACTCTTATACCATCCTCTGGAGTTGGGCGACATGGCTTCTACCCTTTCTAGACCTCATGACAGCATCTTGCTATTATTTGCCTTTGGGCCCTGTATTTTTAACTCCTTGTCAAATTTGTTTCCTCCAGGATGGAGGACATCAAGCTACAGATGGTTTTGCAAATGAAACCCCAAATGAGCTCAACTCACAACTTCTACCAAGGATCCCTGGATCAACCCGCTAGCCCTTTGATGACTCGAAAGTTCCCCTCCGGAGGATATTACAACTGCAGAGCCCCTTCTTCACCCCTATCCAGCAGGAAGTAGCTAGAGCAGTCAATGCCCAATTCCCAACAGCAGCTGGGGTGTCCTGCTTAAAGGGGATATTGAGAGGTGAAGCCAGCTGGACTTCCTGGGTCCAGTAGGGACTTGGAGAACTTTTCTGTCTTACAAGAGGATTGTAAAATGCACCAATCAGTGCTCTGAGGCTAGCAAGAGGTTTGTAAAATGGACCAATCAGAGCTCTGTAAAATGGACCAATCAGCACTCTGTAAAATGGACCAATCAGTGCTCCATAAAATGGACCAACCAGCAGGATTCTAAAAGTAACCAACTGCAAGGAGAATTGAGAAAAGGGCATTCTGACAAGACAGAAACAGGACATGGGAGGGGACAAATAAGGGAATAAAAGCTGGCCACCCCAGCCAGCAGCAGCAACCAGCTCAGGTCCCCTTCCATGCTATGGAAGCTTTGCTCTTTCACTCTTCACAATAAATCTTGCTGCTGCTCACTCTTTGGATCCGTGCCATCTTTAAGAGCTGTAACACTCACTGCGAAGGTCCACAGCTCCATTCTTGTAGTCAGTGAGACCACGAACCCGTCAAAAGGAACTAACTCCAGACACAATATTTTTCATTTTTCATTTAAAAATTTTTTTCTTTATTTCTTCTAAAAAAAAAAAAACGGGATACATGTGCAGAACATGCAGGTTTGTTGCATAGGTACACGTGTGCCATGGTGATTTGCTGCACCTATTGACCCATTCTCCTCTAAGTTCCCTCTCCTCACCTCCCACCCTACAGCAGGCCCTAGTGTGTGTCATTCCCCTCTCTGTGTCCATATGTTCTCGTTGTTTGGCTCCCACTTATGAGTGAGAACATGCAGTGTTTGGTTTTCTGTTCCTGTGTTAGTTTGCTGAGGGTGATGACTTCCAGCTTCATCCATGTCCCTGCAAAGGACATGATCTCATTCCTTTTTATGGCTGCATAATATTCCATGATATTTTTCAAAAGAAAATATTTGCTTCCGACAGAAGATTTTATATTAAAATCTGCATTTGCAGCTTTTACTGAAAAGAACCTAAGGCCTTGCCATATTGGGCTCATTTTATTAAACAGCAACATTTAGCTGAATTGAATAGACAGAGAAAGTACTTTCCAGTCAGATCATATCTGACCCACTTTCCTCAAGTATGTTACCCTCCTCACTCCTGTAGGCATTTGCATGTGTAGTCACAAGCAAATGTGGTTTAGAAACTCTTCAGTGAACCATGTTGGAAAATATCCTAAGCACAAGTACTAAAGATGGTCTGTTATGTTATCTTCCAAGCACACAGTGGAAGGAAAAAAAGTAAGTTTTCTATTACTGCCACAGCTTCTATAATTACTACCTTTCTTGTGCCCTAGGTTAATATCTAAAATTAGCTTTATGCTTTCTCAAACACATTTCACCAGCTCCCTCTGCTGATCCAATCTGAAGGATAAAACAGCTTAAATTCTTTGTAAGTCCTGAACTTTAAAATCACATTTCTGGGGTTGGAGAACTCCAAGCATGAAAGAACTTGATGAGGTAATGGTCATCTAAATAACTTTCTCCTGTGGACAGCTCCTGTGGTAATTCAAGCAAGAGTCAGGATGTAGAAGTTTGTTTCCAAAAGTAGAACTCCTGTTTCGCTGAGAAAGCTGATTTGGGGTGATTTGGCGCCCTCTACAGACTGTAATGGCAAGAGCGACACTATCATGTGCTTCCCATAAGTTTTAGGGCTTTGCCAGAACTATGACGTTGAGGAGGGTGGAGTAAAGGGGCAGGAAGGGTTTATGTTCTGCCAATCCAACAGCTGTATTCTAACTCACCATTCGGCCCTCCCTTAAGATCACGGAAGTAGCACACTTGTCTCCTACACAACTTTTTTCTTGGTCGGTATACTTTCTGCTGTCACCAGCAAAGCAGAAAAGACAAATGGCTTTTGTTTTAAACTGAGGACACTTTTACGAAAGTCATCTTTCCGTTTTTTTTCTTTTAGAAAAAAGAATTTGGGTTTTGAGCTTTAAAAAAAAAAAAAAGACAAACACTTACTTTCCTTGCCTATTTGACTTTGAGAAATAATTTAAGTCAAAGAATCTGCTCTATGCTAAC